TACCTCAAACCGTTTCTCACTTACGAAGTTTGAAAGTGACCAAGGGTTCTCAGGTTGCCACCGTTTTTTACTGCTGTTCTGCTTGAACTAACGTGTTAGTGCAGGTCCCTATCGATCTAGAGATTGGATATGTTCCTTGCACGTATGCTGGAGCTTACCCTGGCTTGTTTCTGTACACGACGCCATCACGGTTTCTTCGCCCAGTGAAGCAACTTGATACAGGAGCTATTGAACTTATCTCTGCCTTCGAACAGGTTTTATAATTTTTTATAAGCTCACTTTTAAGCTTCTATGTGCAGGCATACATGGAAATTGCATGCCCCGACGGAGGAAATTGCGGTCGAACACCTTCAGCTCCACCAGCAACTCACATTGAACTGCATCCGACGGCTATGTTGAGTGTGGTTGCAAGCTCAACACCTTGGTCGGATCACAATCAAAGTCCTCGAAATATGTACCAGTGCCAGGTTTATACGAGCGCTACCGTAATGTTTAGTTTTTCTAACAGTTTCTACAGATGGGAAAACAAACGCTAGGCTTTGCTTCACAGGCTTTGAAGTTTAGAACGGATCACAAAATGTACAATCTTCAGGTAAGACTAGATTTAAGTGTTCTTTGTGTTAGCCATATTCTTTGCTTTTCTTGTAGAACCCTCAGTCTCCTGTTGCGCGCAACGTTAATTACAAAAAGTACAACATGGACGAATTTCCACTTGGCACCAACGCTGTTGTTGCAGTGTTAGCGTACACAGGGTAAAGCTAACTGAGATCCATTTTAAGGTTTGAATTTGAGTGGTTTTCATGTAGTTTTGACATGGAAGATGCTATGATTATGAACAAATCATCGATGGAGAGAGGTTTAGCACATGGACAAATCTATAAGGTGCTGTTTGACAGTGATTTTTGCTTTGTCCTTTGTAAATTGATATGTTTTTTCTTTTTAGACCGAGCATGTCGATTTAAGTTTGCTGCAAAAAAAATCTGATGGAATTGTGAACCTCTTTTCAAGACCAACTGGGAAGAGAAATATACATAATTTTCTTGACGTGGACGGTCTTCCACACATTGGCCAGGTCTGATTAAATCCGCTCGAAATGCTATTAATCGTTTTCTCTGCAGACTATGCATAATGGAGATCCTTATTGCAGTGTTTTGAATACAATGACTGGTGATGCGAAGCTACATAAGCTTAAAGCTGCAGAAAATGTCGTCATAGATTCCGTCATTGCCATCGGGCATGGCAGAGACCCACTTCAAAAGGTCACAATCTCCTTATCTCGATGCATGCCAATAATTGGCTTTCTCTGCAGATCGCTGTGAAGTTCCGCCATGATCGAAACCCGGTTATTGGTGACAAGTTCAGCAGTCGCCATGGACAGAAAGGAATTCTGTCACAGTTGTGGCCAGATATCGACATGCCATTTTCGGCTGTCACCGGGATGCGTCCCGATATTATTATCAATCCCCACGCATTCCCGTCTCGTATGACGATCGGTATGCTTATGGAGTCTATGGCTGCCAAGGTACTAGCGAACTAGCGATGTGCTCCTTATGCTTCATGCCTATTTTAGGCCGGCGTTCTTCGAGGCGAGTACGTGGATTCGACTCCCTTTAGAAGCAGCTCAGCAGCTTTAGATGCAAAAGATGGTAAAACAGGAAGCGGCTACAAGGGTAAAGATAAGCATTATCCCGCGATTAGTGAGTTTGGGGAGCAGCTGGCACAGCACGGTTTCAATTACCATGGCACCGAGGTTATGTACAGCGGTTTGCTAGGAACGGAACTCACCTGTGAGATCTTCATCGGTGTTGTGTATTATCAGCGACTGCGACATATGGTTTCGGACAAGTTTCAGGTAACTCAACTCGGAGAACTGAAAATCGGATTAATGTGGTCTTTATCCCAGGTCCGCTCGCTCGGTGCTATCAATCCCGTCACTAGACAGCCAGTAGGTGGTCGCAAGCTCGGTGGAGGCATACGTTTTGGAGAGATGGAGCGTGACTCGCTACTTGCACACGGTGCAGCGTATTTACTACACGATCGATTGCACACATCCTCCGACTACCACGTTGGAGACGTGTGCACCACTTGCGGGAGTCTGCTGTCAACTCTGATGGTACCCTCAAAGCAGCCCGCCGTCGGTGCTCGGAACAAACCCAAGAAGGCTACCTGCAAAGTCTGCCAGTCGAATGCTGGAGTCGTCAAGGTTGCCATGCCATTCGTCTTCCGGTATCTTGCAGCAGAATTGGCAGCCATGAACGTGAAGCTTACCCTCAAAGTTGCTTCAGCGTAAGGAAGGGGTACGTCTAAATTCTTTTAAGCTGCCTTACAAACGAAGTGATCTGAGTTATTGATATCAGACCACTGTACTTGGAGCAAAGGATCTAGCATGGTTTTTGGTCCTTGAAGGAGCGGACCCAGCCCTTTGCAGAGCATCTCCAGCTCCACATACGCTCCCTGCCGTCATCCGGGCATCCTCAAGCCTCACTGCATCTCGAGAAGACAAGCCTTTATCCAGGCAAGCGCTCCTTCGCTGGCTTGGCTCTTTTTCTTTGCTTGTTTTCCGTCAATATATATGGCGTTGGAACAAAGAGCCTTCCTTTAGAAGACAAGGCGAAGAAATGCTAAGAACCGTTTTTCCTTTTTCTTCGAAAAAATATGCAGTGTCTCGAATGGAATTATCTGGAAGAGGTATGTATTTTTCTTTTCCGTTTTTATTTGACAGTGATTTGCTCTTCCAAGTTACAGTGTCGACAATCGATAGTTCACTGTTACGAAAAATCGAGGTTTGATACATGGGTACGTTTTAAAAAATGTCAAGGTGAAAGGTACTGATCAATGTTTGCTATCTGTAACTCTACAGAGGTTTTACTAGGGTTTTCCTGAGTTTGGGTCTTCGGTGGGACGAGGTATGACAGTGCTTGAATGCTGCAGCGGAAGTTCAAGAGCTTCCGAGGCCCAGCTGATATCTTAAAAGCCATCGTACAGTCACTCCACCGGGTGAAACCAAGCGTTCCCGTTCTTCTTTCAGCGCTGAAAGCCTCGACGAGCTCGAGCGACATCGAAAACGGAAGGAGAGTTCACGCAGATGCAGTTAAATACGGGAAGGACTCCGACATTTTCGTGGCCAGTAGCCTCGTCAACATGTACGCAAAGTGTGGGAATGTGGCGGAGGCTCGAGAGATCTTCGACGCCATGGAGTCCCGGAATGCGGTGTCCTGGACTTCATTGATCTTGGGCTATGCCGACAACGGAGAATACGAGACCGGGTTGGAGCTGTTTCGACGCATGCAACACGAGAGCTCTCAGCAAGCGGATGCTCAGACTTTTGTGGCCGCTCTCAAGGCGTGCACGGGCTCCGCAGCGAAAAAAAAGCCTCTGGAAGTTGGCGGCAGGCGTGTCAAGCTGGGGACTCTCGAGCAAGGCATGGCGATTCACTCGCAGGCCTCGAGAAGTGGCTGCGAAGACGTGTTTGTTTCGAGCATCCTGGTGGACATGTATGCGAACTGCGGCAGCATGCTTGATGCTCGGCTCATCTTCGACAGGATGCCTTCTCACGACGTGGTGGTGTGGAACGCATTGCTTCTGGGATACGCAGAGAATGGAGAGCCACAGGTGACGCTGGAGTTATTCACTCGGTTGAGAGGAGGAGATCGAGGCTGCGGTCCAAACGCTCGAACTTTCGTCGCTGCGTTTCAAGCCTGCGGCAGTATAGCGGATCAAAGTGGCGACAAGATGGTGGCGCTGGAGGAGGGGATGGGTCTTCACTCCCAGGCGGCTCGGTTTCAGCACTGCGTGACGGATATATTCGTGAACAACACTCTCGTCGACCTGTACGCAAGGTGTGGGAGCTTGCTGGACTCCCGCAGAGTTTTCGATCGCATGCGCTGCCACAATGTGGTGTCCTGGAACGCGCTGATGCTGGGACACGCCGACAATGGTGAAGAGGAGCTGGCCTTGGATCTCTTCGAGCGTTTGCGCGAACAAAGCTTAGCACCGGACTCCCGGAGCTTCGTTGCCGCGTTGAGAGCTTGCAGTGGTCTTGCCGAGAAAGAAAGCTCGCGGCAAGTGGACACGAACTCGATCATCAAGGCCGAGGCCCTCGAGAGGGGAACGCGGGTGCATGGAGAAGCCAGAGATGCCGGGCTTGACACGGACATCTACGTGACGAACGCTCTCCTGGACGTCTACGCCAAGTGTGGAAGCTTGGGCGACGCTCGCAGAGTCTTCGACGCCATGCAGCAGCGTGATGCTGTCTCGTGGACAGTTCTGATGCTCGCCTACGCGGAGAACGGCGATGGTCATCTGGCTCTGGAGCTGCACGAGCAAATGCAGCGGCAGGGCTGCGTCCGGGACGCCCGGAGCTTCGTCGCTGCGCTGAAGGCCTGCGCCAGCATCGCAGAGAAGGAACAGGGACAGGGAGTTGGCAACAGGTTGGTGAAAGTGAAGTCCCTGGAGCTGGGAATGGCGCTCCACTCGCAGGCGGCGGGAGTAAGCAGCTGCAACTCGGACGTGTTCCTCGCGAACACCTTGGTGGATCTCTACTCGAGGTGCGGGAGCGTCCTGGACGCTCGCAGGGCCTTTGACGCGATGGAGCGGCACAGCACAGCGTCCTGGAACGCTCTCGTGCTGGGCCTCGCGGAGAATGGAGAGGACGAGCTCGCGCTGGACCTCTTCCGCTGCATGGGAGGAGCCGTGGAGCCGGACTCGCGGAGCTTCATTGCAGCGCTCCGTGGGGTGGCTAATCTCGCCGAGAGAGAGCGAGGCAAACAGGCCGAGACGGGGCTTGTCAAGGTGGAGTCACTGCGCAGAGTCATGGAAATCGAAGCTACGAGCAAGCTGGGCGATATTACAGCACTAGACGCGTTCCTTGCGAGCGCGCTGGTGGACTCGTACGCAAATTGTGGGAGCCTCGAGGACGCAAGAAGGGTGGCGAGCAAGATGGAGCCTCGTCACAGCATCGCGGCTCTCAACGCGCTGGTGTCCGGCTACGCGGAGAATGGCGAGTCCCGGCTAGCAGTGGAGCTCTACCGATGGATGCGGGAGAGCTACCCGGAGCTCCTGGACGCGCGGACGATGCTCGCGGGGCTCAAGGCCTGCGGAAGCTTGGCCGCGCTAGAGACCGTCCGGGAGATCCACGCGGAAATCTCCAGAGCCGGCGTGCTTTCATCATCGTCTTCTTCGTCCTCTCGATCACCCAGCAGCAGCAGCGATGGAGGAGCCCTGGCTACGTCGCTGATCGACGCCTACGGCAGATGTGGAAGCGTGCTCGAGGCCCAACGGCTGTTCGACGCGATGAGCCCATCGCCGGACACCGCGACTTGGAACTCGCTGATGGCCGGCTACAGCCACCATGGCGACACGAAGCGAGCTCTGGCGCTGCTCGAGGCCATGGAGCGCGAGGGTGCGAGCGTGGACGGCATCACGCTCGTGTCGGTGCTGAGCGCTTGCAGCCATGCCGGGGCGGTGGAGGTGGCGCGGGGGCTGCTGGAGGGGATGGCGTCGAGGTTTGGGGTGGAGGCTGGGGTGGAACACTACCACTGCGTGGTGGACGCTCTGGGCAGGGCCAACAGGGTGGAGGAGGCGGCGAGGCTGGCGAGGAGCATGCCATTCGAGGCGAGCGCCGTGACTTGGAGGACCGTGCTGGGGGCGTGCCACAAGTGGGAGAACACAAGCGTGGGAGAGGCCGCGTTTGAATCCCTCCAGGGCTGTTTATCGTGGTCATTCTAAATAATTTTTGATCCGACACTATGGATTGCGCTTGATCTGTGTAATCCCTTCTCTGGGCTAATTATTTGGGATGAATATTTGGGATGATAAGCGGCATGGAAACATCACAGAAGATCCAATGGTGGGCTGGGAGTTTCTGGCAGGAGTTCGCCCTCCGTAATTACCAGGCATCATCTCTAGAGGTCCGAAGGGCCTGCAGTCTCCTGAGTAAACCAACCAATTGAGCAACTGTAGATAGACTGAATCCCACTTGAAAATCAAGTAGAGAAGGGTTCCAAAGATAGATTTTTCCCTTTATTTGCTTGCATTTCTTCGTAAGTTGTAAACTAAAGTCAACTACAACATGTCAATTTTAATCCCCTAGTAATAACATATCCTCCATTTAACAACTCATTAATTTTCTTTGTCAGTTGTGAACAGAAGTATCCCTTAGCCAAGATCTCAACACTAGTATTGCCCAGCAAATATTAACAGAATCTAGAATTAATTTTTTTTCTTGTTAATTAGTTTTTACTATTTAAATTTATATAAAAGAAACCTTGAAAGATATTTGCTATTCAATTGAATGGAACATAAAAAATACAAAAGCTAAAAAGGTTGTATTTTAATTGGTGAGGTTGCTACAAAGGAGGAGTATCTACTTTACCATAAAGATAAACAAAAAGAAGAAAAACAAAAAGGAAGAAATGAAAAAACTATAAAAACAAGAGGGATTTAGATAATGCAAAAGTTAGATTTAAAATAAAACCACAAATTTATCAAGGATAATCAATTGAGTGCATGAAATATAGAAATTGATTAACCAAAAACCTTAATTTATATAAAGGAGTGAGTAATTTGAATTGAAATCAATCAGACAGCTATCAAAAACCCACTATGCTAATAATAATATATGGCATTATAACTTGATCTCACACTTTGAATATGATTATTAAACATTTTTTCATTTTTTAAATATTTGCTAGCTATGAAAATAAAAACATGAATGCTATAATACTATCATATATTGACTTGTATTAATATTTAATATAACAGGCTCTCTTAAGAAACAAATAGTTAAAAATTACAATATAATAATCAAGAAGAAGCAAATTAGGAACCCTTGATCTTCTAATTAAACATCTTCTTCTGGACTTAATAAATTTGTTTTGCATATATTATTTTTTATTTTGAGTTATGAAGATATTTTTATTTTTATTACAAAATTCTTAATATAATATAATAGATATTTATGAATGAATTTTAAAAATACATCTATTTTGCAAATCTCCTTCGTCAATTACAGTGGTTTTAAACACTCAATATAGAGAGCTTCAAACACATTATATTCTTTGGTCTAAGACTCTATTACAAAACCAAGGTTTCAATATTATTTAAAAGAGGTTCAAACTATAATACTGACACTCCTTAAGAAATTAAATTAAATTGGTTTTGAACTTTCACAAATTTTTCATCATCATAGATGTGTTCTTATGAATTAACAACCTACATTAATTAACCTACTATTATCATCATAAATTATTTATATAAATGAAAAATATGTATAAAAAATATTAAATATACTAGATTAATGTTTCTATTTTTTATTTAAAAATAATAATAATTTTAAGAATATTGTCAATAATTTTATAATAAACAAAAATTAGAATAATTTTGTTTTAGTTAAAATTTTCTCTATTTTGTTTTATTCTTAAAATTCAAGATTTGGAGTCTAATATAAACGGCTTCAGCTATTATTTTTATTTGTATGTATAATAAATTTATTTAACTGTAGTTTCTAGCTCTATCTAAAATGAATGTTATAAATATTAAAATCTTAAAATTATTAATTTTTTTATATTTCACATATACTTTTTCATATGCTGGAAGATCCACATCATACGAACCTAGAAGAAATAATTTTATAACACTA